ACATTTAAAAATATTTAGTATTCATTCAGATGCACATTGATTGAGTGATGATTATGCATGTGTGACACAGCTGAAGGTCAGCCAAAGAGTCTACACTAACTGTTGTGACTTTTTTTTCCTGTAATGGCAAATTTGTCAGAGACTGCTAATGGTTTGTTTACTTAACCATATAGGAAAATCCATATATTATGTAATGTATTTGTTAATGCTCTCTTATATTTCTCAAAATAAACACACAGGAACAACGTGATTCGGATTATGATCGCTTGCTTTTCCTCTGTGCCTTCAGTAGCTCAGCTAAATGAACTATCTTAGTTATTAAAACACCAACAGAGTTCTATGCAATGAAATGTGGATCAGATTCAATGGAAGACATGTAACAAAGCCCACTGCTTTCTTTCTGTAGAGAAGAAAAACTGACTGTTATAAAAGCAAGTATCTCTTCTCAAAGGCTTTACATCTTTATAGATAACACAATGATCAGCTTTCTTTCTTTGCTTTATTTGATATAAAGCCTCAGACTTGCCACATTCTTCTATACAAGTGAAGAAACAGCTCTTATGCACAAATGCATTGGGGGGTTTTTTGTCCTGTTTACATTAGAAAACCAGAATCTTTGAAACAGTTCCATTATAGCCTGGGTTACACAAAAGCAACCAACTCCCACTAGCTTTGTGGCCATCCTTTTAGAAAAACAACCACCAACAGTAATTTGTAGAAAATATTCTTCAATATTTTTGTGATAATCTTTATTTTAACTTTTAACATCTAGCCTTTCAGATCCATTTTTGTTCCAGGAAGATCCAGCCTATTGGCGGCAATGGGGCAACTTTTCATGCTCCCCTGATTTATTTATTTTATTTCAAACATTTCTACCCCGCCCTTCTCAACCCCCCCCCCGGGGGGGGGGGGGCTCAGGGCAGCTTACAATTGTCAATAATAATTCAATGCCATATCATAAAATACAGAATAACAAATCTAACAATTAAACATGAACATTAATAAATAAAGATTAAAACAGTATACTTACACTCTGATTAGCTATTGCCCGTCTGGTGGCTGTTTAGCTAGCCATCTACTAATGATTACTCACTTAACTTATCCAAATCCTCTTCCATGCCATAGTCAACATTATCAATTGTCCTTTAACCTGATTGCCCGAAGGCCTAGTCCCACAGCCACGTTTTAACCTTTTTTCTAAAGGTGAGGAGGGATGGCAATGACCTAATTTCCCCGAGGAGCAAATTTCACAGGTGGGGGGCCCTGTCCCTCGTCCCTGCCAAGCGTGTTTGAGACAAAGGCGGGGCCGGGAGCAAGGCCTCCTCAGACATTCTTAAGCTCCGAGGTGGGACGTAGAAGGAGATACGTTCAGACAGGTATGCTGGACCAGAGCCATATAGGGTTTTATAGGTCAAGACCAGCACTTTGAATTGTACTCGGAATTGGATCAGCAGCCAGTGGAGCTGGCACAGCAGGGGGGTGGTATGCTCCCTGTATGACGCTCCGGTGAGTAATCTAGCTGCCGCCTGTTGGACTAATTGCAATTTCCGAACAGTCTTCAAAGACAACCCCATTTAGAGCGTGTTGCAGTAATCTATTTCCATCATTTCTAGGGCATCAGTCTTAAGAAATCACATTTTCTGGTATTGTTTGTCCTCAAATCTTTCAATAAGAGCTGGGTAGTGAGGATGTAGGTACTGTTCAACCTCACTACCTCTGAGGATGCTTGCCATAGATGCAGGCAACACATCAGGAGAGAATGCCTCTAGAACATGGCCATATAGCCTGAAAAAACCTACAACAACCCAGTATTCAAAGTGTTATTCAGTTGAATGATGCCAAGGTTGCTGGTTACTGTTAAGTTTCCAGGAAAGAAAAAAGAACTGCAGCCAATGGGCACAGATATGGTATCAGTTTTTGGAAGACTGAGGTGGAAACTGCTGGACTTTCATATCAGATAGCTTGGGAAACACAATTCTAAGTCATGAATTTCCTTACAGATGTATACATTCTTGACATATAAGGCTACCCCTCTCCTTTGTTTAGTTAATACATTCTGAATAAGTTATACTCCTGAATTATTACATCTCAGTCATAAATATCATGTCACTAAGTTTCAGGGTTGTGTATTAAATCATATTTGCCTTTCTCTGTTAAGAGTTCAGATTCATCTTGTTTGCTTCCTATGTTTTCTCCAGTAGTATAGAGATATCCAAAACCATGGCTCCCTTCTCAGCTCCTTCCTCTTATTTTTTCCTGTCAACTGAAAGAATCATAGTCTGTTTCTTCTCTATCATTTGTATTCTTGCTCCCCACACTCGGTGTCTCCCTCTCTATTACAGAATGGTGTGTAAAGTCCTCTGACCAGGTTCATGGCATTTCTAGTATACATATTCTTATCAATCACAATTAGGTGTAACACATTTCTTGCCAGAAGTTCTTCTTCATGAAAACTCAAGACCATGGTCCAAGAATCAAATCTTTCCTGATGATACCACCTGTACTTTTAATTATTCACATGTAGTATTTCTCTTTGTCTTTCTGGGACATGATGTTCAACTGGAAGGACTGGTAAGAAAACAACCTGCACTCCAAGGTTATTTAGTTTCCTATTCAAAACCTCTTTGTTGTTCACATTCACTTGAAAATTGTGTTGAACAGTACCTACATCGAATTTGAGATGAGCTTCATCAGGGTTGACTGAATCAAGGTTGCTAATAAGGATTTTGGGGGAACTAGCAGATTTGATGGTGCTATTCCCTTGCCCTTCAGAGTAGACTTTGATGACGTTGCCAAAGTAGTAGGTGTCAGAATCAACACATCTCATTCAAAAGTGTCTTTAAGTGGATTTCATGATTCCTCTTGAGTATTAAATCCTCATAATAGGAGCAGGATTGTATGATATGGCTCTCACCCAAACAAAGCAGGCACTTGTATGCCCATCTTTATCAGGGCACTTCCCTTGGCATTCCATGTTTTTTTTATTTAAAAAAGATAGAACATATCTAAGGTTGGAGTAAGTCAAAGGTCTGAACTGGAAGCAAGAGTGTAGTTAGACCAGTCCAAGGTCAGAGCGGAGAAGATACAATGCAACCCGAAAATAGAGTCTAAGTCAGATTACTAGATACTAGCTATGGTATTGAATAGTTTACTCAGTTCTTGAGGTTTGCCTGAATATTCTGTACTGAAGATAATTCTCAGCCTGTCCTGATTGTAAACCAAGCCTGAAGATTAAGGAACAGCAGTGTTCACAGTTGCTGACAAAATGAGTGGGCTGGGGTGATGATGAAATGACCTAATTCTTAGACAATAGTACTACCACACCAGAAGGGCATATTCAGCCAGCTGTTAAAACATGCAAGGAAGTGCCAACCAACAAAAATAGGTTGCCAGTGAAGCCAGTCAAAAACGTTTTTGCACTACTGTTAAAACAAATCTATATTCCTCATGTATACGTGTTGTTACCACGATTAAATACAAAGGCTCTCATATTGAAGTCACTTACTTATAAATAGTTCAGTAGAGGCTACTAATGAATAATTAGTTTCACAGTTGCAACTATACTTAAGTAAATAATCTGAACACATAGTAATCAGTTATTTCCCTAAACTGTTAGCTAGCATGCAGTTAGTGACGACTTGTTCTCATGATCCAGTTTGCTTGAAAATCATTAATTTTCACCCTAATAACAATTCCCCTAGGGCATTGTGCCTCACAAATCTGAGGAACCTAGAACTGCTTGTGCTCAGCACTTTGGTTGTTTTTATGAGCATCTGACATAAGGAAAAATAATTGCACACAAATAAGCAATTACTACCATAAACCAAAAGATATCAGAGTTCAAGTTTTACATTAGGAAAAAAAGAGAACAAAGAAAATTTGCTACTACAGTACAACCGTAGCCCTGTCTCCTTCTTCACTTAAGATGACAACAGTATAGTTTGTTGGCCAAACCAAATACTGATAACAAATTAGGAAGGATGAGATATTGTAATATTTCAAAAGGTTTATTTGTATTTTCCTCAAATGATAAATCATTCTCATTGGTTGCTTAAGCTTCTTGCAGATAGCACCTTTAAAATTGATGGATGGATGAGAGGCAATCTTGTCAACAAATCTATATAAATAAAAATGTAATGTTCATTTGTGGGATTAACATAACCCAAAAACCACTGGATGAATTGACACCAATTTTGGACACAATACACCTATCTGGCCAACAAGTGACCATCACTCATAAAAACACTGAAAAACACAGTGGAAGGGAATTAAATAGCCAAAAAATAAACAAATTACAGTGCATGCGCAAAATTACATATATTATTATTATTATTATTATTATTATTATTATTATTATTATTAAACTTTATTTGTACCCCGCTAGCATCTCCTGAAGGACTCGATGCGGCTTACAAAGGCCAAGGCACATACACACACACATACACAAATATATACATACACAAAGCACATACACACAGACTGGGCCACAGCAATGCATGGCGGGGGATGGCTAGTGGATTCATAAATCACCAATCCCAACTGCCATTTTTGCAATCAAGTCTTGACAATTCATGGGTTTCCTGAACTATGCTGGGGAGAATCCCCAAACTGTCAGCTGTTGAAATGATTCAAATGTGAATGATTCAAAACTGTTTATATTTAATTCTGTTTTAATGTTTGCATATTTGTATATTTTAAATTGCTTTTATGTTAAGCTGCTTTGAGTCTCCGACAGGAAAGATGAAGCAGGGTATAAATAGAAGAAGAAGAAGAAGAAGAAGAAGAAGAAGAAGAAGAAGAAGTTCATTTCAGTAGGTAGGATCAATGATATATCTAGCCCTCGACCAAAAGAACCAAACATCCAACCATGTAGCTCCATATAAACCCACATTTTAGAAGTATATTAATTGTGACCAATTGGTAATGTACTTTCCATACCTCAATGGAATAAAGCATGGAGGAAGCAACCCCATCATAAAACCCCATTATTAAATACATACCCATACAGGAAAACTTCTGCTGTCTGTCATCATAAAGCAGATTTTGTTTGACATTTGGAAGTGAAGAAAGGCCATTTGGCAAAAGCAGGAAGAGGAGCAGGAAGACCGAGGAAGGGGCCATCTTCCAACCCATTCTTATTCTGAAGAAATAAAGAAAAAAAAAACATAATTCGAGAAGGAAGAGATGAAGTAAAAATTCCCACTGACATTTCTATATTTCACACAAATTAGACAATTTTCATCAGTAGCAGCAAGAAACGTAGAATCAAATGCATTTTGTTCATTCTTATAAGGAGAGCATACTCAGGGGCGGCTCAAGCCATTACACAATGTAAGCCTTCGCAGTATAGGTGATTTTGCCCAGGGGCGCTCTTGAGGTGCTCTTGGGGGAAAATAGACCTTGACATATGCGAGTTGTAGTTACTGGGATGTATAGTTCACCTACAATCAAAGAGCATTCTGAACTCCACCAATGATGGAATTGAACCAAATATGGCACACAGAACTCCCACGATGAACAGAAAATATATATCAGTGATTGGTTGGGGGGGGGGCACCAAAATACTGTTCGCTTACAGTTGAAAATTACCTAGGGCCACCTCTGAGCATACTAAAATACTTAGAAGTGAGCTATAAGCACTTATTGAAACCAGGATAATAGACAAATAATGCTGTCTTTATCCTAGCTGGGGTTTCCTTGGGGTAGAGATCGTTACTCTTCTTTCAATAAGTTTAGTTAATGATTGAAATCATATCTTGGACTGTAATTTTTGGGGCTTTCCAGCACTTCTGTGAAATAGTAAAAGAGACAGTCTTCACTCTAAACAAGCAATATGGGAAGATTCTTGCGTTTTAAAATGGACAAAACCATTTTTCATTTTGTTACTCCACTGGGAACAAAAACCCCAAAGTTTAAAATGTTCAAATGTATATATGTGTTTATATAGCAGAGCAAGCAGAGAGGAAATGGAATGGGTTGTAAAAATTGCCTTTCAGAGACATCTTGCAGTACAAATAAGATATGTGCCATGTGCATAGGAACTATAGTCCCCCTCCCCACCCCCAACAGTCCGAGAGACTCTGAACTAGCCTTCAGCTTAAAAGTACAACTTCAACAGGTCTCTTTGTTGCTCTATTTGCAAATTCTAGGGCTAGGTCATACTAAGACTAGCTTGGCTTGGGAACGTTTCTTGATTTGAAATTGGAAGCAATTTTAATTTTTATTCATTTGCTTGAGCACTCCTGTGCATGCCTTAGACAGGCTGAAGGTATCTAGACTTGAAAGCCTTTGAAATGAATGTTTGCAACTCCACTTCTCTCTTTATATATCCTGTACGGGCCTTGGACAGATGGCAAGCTATTTAACCTCAGCAGACTGAAAGCCAAAACCAAGGTCACAACAACATCTGTTATAGAACTCCAATATGCTGATAATATAGCTTGTGATCATTCAGAAGAAGACCTTCAAAGCACTCTAAACACATTTGCAGAAGCATACAAAAAGCTTGGCCTCTCACTGAACAGCCAGTAAACCAGTGCTCTTTCAGCAGTCTTTCAGCCAATCCCTTTGCAATGCCTTAAATACAGCTTAATGGTGTAATGTTAGGAAATGTTGACCATTTCCGCTACCTTGGCAGCCACCTCTCCACAAAAGTCAACATTAACACTGAAATACAACACTGCCTGAGCTCTGGAAGTGCAGTATTTTTCCAAATGAAGCAGTGTGTATAGGAATACCAAGGTGCTTATTTATAAAGCTACTATCCTCCCAACCCTGCTATATGCCTGTGAAACATGAACCGTCTAAAGATGTCACACTCAATTTCTGGAACAATTTCATCAGCGTTGTCTCTGAAAAATCCTGCAAATCTCTTGGGAAGATAAGCGGACAAATGTCAGCATTCTGGAAGAAGCAAAGGCCACCAGCATTGAAGTGATGATCCTTTGCCATCAACTTCGCTGTACCGGCCACGTTGTCCGAATGCCCGATCACCGTCTCCCAACTATACTCCCAACTCAAGAATGGAAAATGGAATGTTAGTGGACAGGAAACGAGATTTAAAGATGGGCTTAAAGCCATCCTTAAAAACCGTGGCATAGATACCAAGAACTGGGAAGCCCTGACCCTTGAGCATTCTAACTGGAGGTCAACTGTGACCAACAATGCTATGAAATTTGAAGAGGTACAAATGGAGAGTTAAAATATGGCAGTCCTGTTCACCAAAGGAAGAAACATGTAAAGAAGAAGGCACATCAAGCCAACCCTGACCAGGACCGCCTTCCACCTGGAAATTGATGTCCTCACTGCAGAAGAACATGCAGGTCAAGAATAGGTCTCTACAGTCACTTACAGACCCACCGCCAAGACCCTATGCCTGGAAGGCAATCATACTTGGACATGAGTAATCGCTGATGATGATGGTGCCTTGGATACACTCCAAGTAGGTGTTTAAAACACTTTTTTGCACAACCTCTGTAGCACTCCATGAAATACTGGTTTGACATCCCAAGAAAATATCCAAACTGTGTGTTGTTGTTGTTCATTCATTCAGTTGTTTCCTACTCTTCGTGACCTCATGGACCAGCCCACACCAGAGCTCCCTGTTGGCCGTCACCACCCCCAGCTCCTTCAAGGTCAAGCCAGTCACTTAAAGGATGCCATCCATCCATCTTGCCCTTGGTCGGCCTCTCTTTCTTTTTCCTTCCATTTTCCCCAGCATCATTGTCGTCTCTAAGCTTTCCTTTCTTCTCATGATGTGACCAAAGTACTTCATTTTTGCCTCTACTATCCTTCCCTCCAATGAGCACTTTAACTGTGTAGAAAGGGTTAAAAGGTAGCATGAAAAACGGGAATACAAGGTATACAAATTACCATGGAAAGGATCAGGTAGCCTTAAGCCACAGACTGTGAACACCATTACATGCAAATATATAAGAAAATTTGCTCTTTCTTATGAACAAAACACTTCTGAAAGAAGGAGCTTGAGTAGGAACCCAATAGACAATAAGTGTGCTGGCCAACTCTTTCCCAGTCTTTCACATTAATTCATAATAGGCAAATAATTTGCATGATATGCAAATACAGACCAAAATTGGGGAAGAGAGTTAAAATATGGCAATCCTGTTCACTAAATGATTGGAAATATCTCTTTCAGCTAACACTGAGAAGGATATTCCAAGCTTTTTCAACAAGTTTCAGAAGGAAACTGCCTGGGTTTCCCAAAAAGCAACTTTGAAAAAAAGAGGAACTTGTTTGCCAAACACTCATTCTTGCAGTTAACCTCAAGGGCAGTCATATGAAGGTGTGATGGTATGGAAGCAAAAAAGCAATTACAAAAGCTACAAGAGCTCCAGCTTTGGCAGCTGGCACAAGGGGTGAGGCCAGAGCTTCTTCCATCGTCACTCAAGGTTACATGCAGGTTACATGCAGGTTTTCTGTCTCCAAGTTCAATGCAGACGCATGTTGCGCCCACTTTAAATTATTCCGCATGGTAGCTCTCTCTGCATGGCAACCCATTTCTGTATAATCGATCAAAACAAAATGTAACTAGTCTTCTTTATGCCATGAGGGGGGGGGGGGCTCTTTTGGCCTGTTTTCTGAAGAAAAACCAAGCCACTACACAGATATTGTAATAATAATAATAATAATAATAATAATAATAATAATAATAATACTGCTTAAAGTGCAAACTTGAATTTGAATATAAGTCAGAACAGGTAACTTTAAAAGTTTGACTCCAATCATACTGTGGCATTTGTTCTGCTGTCTGTGCCCCTGTTCAGTAGATTTCATCTCACTTTCTGTCCCTGTGATAATTGGAGTTTGAAAAAATTGGCTTGTTGCAGGAACAGGAATTGATGACAAAGTTTCAGTGGAGACACCTTTTCCCCGTGATAACTGTTTCAGGAAAGAATTTCCCTTCTGAGGAGAGATTTCTTTCACTTCCTGCTTTCTCACCCCTGTTTGTAACTCAGGTACTGCCTGCATATCTATATCTATGTCTATAATAAAAGTGAAATTATGTTTGTATGTATGTACATATGTTTGGGAAGGAGGGCAATTTCTGAGATCGCTCCCACTTCCAGGCATCACTGTGACTCCCACCAATGATGGAACTGAACCAAACTTGGCACTAACATAAAATATTGGGGGGGGGGGGGAGATTGACCATTGATTTTGGGCATTATAGTTCACCCCACATCAAGAAAGTCCAGTGATTTCTGTCAACAGTGGATTCGACCAAACTTGGCAGCAACATGAGCAACAGAAAATACTGGAGGGAGTTGGAGAGAGTTGACCTTTGAGGCTGGAAGTTATAGTTCATTCACAATCAAAGAGCACTGTGAACCCTGCCAATGATGGATGCATACCCAACATGACCAACTTTGAATATTGCCGGGGTGACCCATGATGTTCGGAGTTGTAATTCACCTACATCATTATACACTTTATAATAGGTCCATTCAGAAAACCAAAAACCAAACACTGACTACTTTTAATATTTATTCTTTCAAAAATCCCTATCCCAGGCATTGCCAGTACCTTATTAAAATATGTCTACCTCGGACAAATCCTTTAGAAAAGCTATAATGTACAAAATCAAATGCTGGGGTTGCTAACCAGTTGGCAGTGGTGTCTATGTAAACAATTGATCAGGTTGAAAAATATCTGCTCTAGCAGTTCAGACAACTGCAAAGCCCACAGATACTCCAAAGTTTCCTGCAAACACTGCAGTATCTCCCATCTGCAGTGCAATATAAAGTCAAGGGCAAAACACCTCCATATATTGAAAACTCTTGTGCATTATATGAAGACTGCCAGCAACAGATTCAGGGGATTTTTCTTTTTACTAACGTAGTCTATAACTTAGTCTCATGCAGCTAGTATTTACCATGTTCAACTGCTCTCTCTGCAAATTTGGATACATTGTTTTAGTAAACTATATACAGTAAGTAATAGTTAGCACCATTAAACATAAATTACCAATCACAAAGTGGCCACTAGGTTCCCCCCCCCCCCAATTTCAATACGTCGATGCTAGAGATAGCTGTTGCAGAAGCATAAAAGAGGCAGCCAACCCTAAAAGGACAACAGCAGCCTACAACATGATCGAACAAATGTTGTGTGACTTACCAGTAATTTCTGAAAATGGATCTTCTAAATATCAAAGCAACATCAAAAGGAAATGCCTCCTGAGGAGACAGTTCTTTCACAGAAGCTGGCTCTTATCTTGGTTTTCCTCTTCCTCTTTTCTTCATAGCTGTGGTGTCATTTATATGGGGGTGGAACTGGACAGCAAAGATTATTGCTTGACATTTTCTCATAAATGTAATCCAACTGAACCTAAGACATAAGAAGAGACAGTTGTTCACACTACATACCGAAGGTACCAAACTACTACAAAAGATGACATTTGATTGATTCAATGTGTCCCTTGTACTTTGATTCCAAGGGGCCACTGTGTTATGTATGGCACAGCAGCCAAAGCATTTTTTGTTCACATATATCATGTATGTGTGTGTGAGAGAGAATGCAAGTGTTTCAATTGTTGTGCAGCACATACAATAATAAATAAATAAATAAATAAATAAATAAAACTTTATTTATACCCTGCTACCATCTCCCCAAGGGACTCGGTGCGGCTTACATGATGCCGGGCCCACAATACAACAATAATAAAGCAATAGCAACAAACAATACAAAACACTAGGTCTTACAGATTTTACTTATTTATTTATTATTCCAACTTTAATGCCACCACTCCCCTGGGGCTCGAAGCGGCTTACAAGAACAGGCTAAAATTGAACACAATTTAAAAACGATTTAAAACAATTTAAAAACAGCAATATCAAAGATAAAAGGCCTTATGGAAAATATGAAAATCTTCTATAAAGGATTTTGGGAATTTGCCATTTTCCTCTTTTCTAAATAATGTATTACATTCAGTACTTACAGAAAGGAGCCCCTGGTGGCGCAGTGGGTTAAACCCCTGTGCTGGCAGGACTGAAGACCGACAGGTCGCAGGTTCGAATCCAGGGAGAGGCGGATGAGCTCCCTCTGTCAGCTCCAGCTCCTCATGCGGGGACATGAGAGAAGCCTCCCACAAGGATGATAAAATATCAAAAATCATCCGGGCATCCCCTGGGCAATGTCCTTGCAGACGGCCAATTCTCTCACACCAGAAGTGACTTGAAGTTTCTCAAGTCGTTCCTGACACGACAAAAAAAAAAGTACTTACAGAGAGATAACATGGTATACTGCTTTGAATGTTGGACTCTGATATACCCATTACTTTGATTCCTTGTTCAGCCATGGAAACCCACTGGGTGACTTGTTTATTTCGTACCCTCTACCCAAGGGGGGGACTCAAGGCGGCATCACATAAGTACTGTATGATGCTATATCAACATATAAATAATCAACAATTACATTAAAACATTAAAAACTATTCATTAAAACAATAGATTAGTCACACCAGTTTAAAACCAAATCCAAGTCTGGGTTAATTCAATGTCGCCATATCCAAGTCTTCTTTCCAATTGCCTCTATCCATTAATCGAAGACCTGGTCCCAAAGCCAAGTCTTCAATTTTCTTCAAAAGGACAGGAGGGAGGTGGCTAACCTGATGTCCCTGGGGAGAGAGTTCCACAGATGGGGGGCCACTGCTGAGAAGTCCCTGTCTCTTGTCCCCACCAACTGCGTTTGCGATGGAGGTGAGATCAATAGCAGGGCGTCTCCTGAAGATCTTAAACTTCACGATGGTTCGTAACAGGAGATATGTTCGGTCAGGTAGTCTGGGCCAGAACTTTGGACAAGTCACACTCTTTCACCCTTAGAGAGAAGGAATGGCAAGCCTCGAAGGGCCTCGCCAGATGCAGGATCCCCCATTTCTACACACTTTAAAAACAGTTTAAGGACAATTAAAATTGAACCCACCACATGATGCAAAACTCCATCTAATACATGTGTTTCATAGAATCATAGAATCAAAGAGTTGGAAGAGACCTCATGGGCCATCCTGTCCAACCCCCTGCCAAGAAGCAGAAATATTGCATTCAAATCACCCCTGACATATGGCTATCCAGCCTCTGTTAAAAAACCTCCAAAGAAGGAGCCTCCACCACACTCCGGGGCAGAGAGTTCCACTGCTGAACGGCTCTCACAGTCAGGAAGTTCTTCCTCATGTTCAGATGGAATCTCCTTTCTTGTAGTTTGAAGCCATTGTTCCGCGTCCTAGTCTCCAAGGAAGCAGAAAACAAGCTTGCTCCCTCCTCCCTGTGGCATTTAAACACATGTTTAATACATGTGTTTAAAGTTTGTAGAAATGGAGATTTCAGGAATTGGTTAGCAATCGTCTCCAGAGCTCCTGATCCACACAGGAATTGGTTAAGACAATTAT